TCTCCCTTACCTCCTCTCTCCTACTTTGCAGCCAGAAGTGTCTTTTCAGAATGCTTATCTGCCTATGTCACATCCCTGACTTCAATCTAATGCCTTCCAGTGGCCAACGTGGTCTGTACTGCCATCCTCTCCAAATACACCCTCCATCTCTCAGTCCACACCAGTTCACTGTCCCTCAAAAGCGGCACACTCTCTCAGGAATATGCTGGTCTCACTGCTTATAATGACCTTTCTCCACTGCTCTGCTTACTGAATGTAAACATCCTTTTACTGTGAAGGCCGTCCCAGTGCCTGCCTTCCTGATACAGAGTTGATCTCATCCATTCTTTCCCATATAAATAAGTCATTGTAATAACTATTTATTGAGAGCTTTTGTTTTCAAGCATCCAATGGCTTTATATACATTATCTAATTTAAACTTTCCAACAGTATTTTGAGGTAGTCTATTCATCCCCTTTATAAAGAAAGTGAGGCTTAGAGAAGTTACTGTCAGCCAATCTGAGCCTGTTAATTAGCAAGATCTGTTGAGTTTGTGTCATATATATTTCTTAGGGTCCAACCTCCCCTCACGGTAAAATATACAGCTGATATTTAAATTCAGGCTGGCTAGATTCCAAAATGTCTTGAGTTTATCACACTGCATTTAGTTGGCTAAGTTCTGGGAGTTCCTTACGGGCAGGATCTGGGTCCTGTTCCTCTCAGTACCCCAAACCTGGAAATTAGTACTCGAGCATTGGTCGGAAGTCAGACGGACTTAGCTTCTGACTTAAGACAGAGAAGAGGTGCATAACATGCATCTGTTCGAGTAAGCAACAGGGCTCACCAGATAGAAATACTTAATCTGTCCAAGTTTAGATCTCAGTGACTTTCTAACTATAGGATTTGGAACATGCTGTTCGACCTGTCTAAACCTCACTTTCTTTCATTGAAAAAACGGCAATCCCCCTGGCCTATGATCATTTCGCACGTGATTAACAAAGTGTGTAGAGTCCCTGCTAGGATGGGGACTCCCTCAGTGGCAGTTGTCAGCATGCATCCATGCCATCCACTCTCAATCCCGACGCCTGCCTGGAGGAGACACTTCTTGACCACACAGAAGATAGGAGGCACGGAGGGTGATTTCCTGAGCACCCCTGACACACACCTCCGTGTGTTCACAATGTCTTTATTCAGGGGTGGAGACCACATGCAAAGCCCCACCTTCACCAGCCAGGAGGACATGAGGTTCCTGGCATTTTCTGCAAAAGCACATGAATCTAGCTGGCTGTGCAGAGGCCAGGGCGCTGGGCCTGGCAGCTTCGGTAGCACATCAAGAATTTTTCTTTTTCTTTTTCCAATGAAACATCTTAAGAAATATTGGTCTAACCTCCTTTCCTGCAATGGCAAGGCCCAGACACACACACCTGTCGCACCAGGCTTCTCAATCCCACTCCTGAGGGACTTACTGGGGCTGCAAAAGGCAACAGGCCCCACGATGCCAGGAAAGGGAGGTTGAGACCAGAGGGGCGTGGACGGAAGATCAAGCTGCAGACAGCCTGATGGTGGATATCCTCAGGGGCCAGCTAACTCTGGCAAACCAGGCAGCTATCCAGAGGCTACGGCCACCTGTGAGAGTTCAGAGACAAGCACACACTTCTTGCGGCTCTTGCTAAGTTCCACCACCCTGGCCACCTCTCTCTGGCTTCAACTCTGATACTATTTACAATCCATATACTTCGGCTAGTCATTAATTCCTGCTCTTAAGCAGAGTTCTCTAAGCCTTTCCCAGACAGTTTCCTAGTTATCTCTCCAAGATTAATAGCATTATGCATATTGTCTATTAGGAGAAAAAAAAAAAAGGAACCCTACTGTATGTATTGCGCTGGCGCATTACAGCTGTTATCACACTCAAGCCTCACAATAACCCCGCAGGGACAGACCACCATTTACTCCATTTTGCTGATGGGGAAACTGGGTGAAGGCATCAAGTGACTCACGCAAGGGGAAGACCTGGTGAACGGTGGCAGAGTCAGACTCACACTTACTCAGGATCAGACCACAGCCCCAGAGCACTGGGGAATTTAACTTAATGCAACCGTTGAGCTAAACTTTTCCCCGGGTTGTGTCAAGACAATGGAAAGCTACAGCAGCGGGGTGACTCGGCGAAGGCCTGGGGCCTAGGCCTCGGGAAAGGGTGCACATGAGAGCAATGGAGAACAGCTTGGCATGTGGCAACACTATAGACTGAATGCTTGTGTTCTCCCCAAAGCCCTGTGTTGGAACCTAATCCCCAGTGTGATGGTATTTAAAGGTGGGGTCTCTCAGGGACGATAAGGTCATGAGGGTGGGGCCCTCACGAATGGGACTAGTGCTCTTAAGAAAGACACCCCAGAGAGCTCCCTCTCCCCTTCCACCATGTGAGGACACAGCAAGAAGACGGTGTCTATGAACTCACCAGCTCTCCCCAGACACCAGATCTGCTGATGCCTTGATCTTGGACTTTCCAGCCTCCAGAACTGTGAAAAACAAATTTGTATTATTTATAAGTCACCTAGTCTCGGAGGTTCTGTTTTACCATCACTAAGACTGACAAGTACTCAATGAATGGTAACTATTCCTTTTCTTTTCATTTTTGTTTTTTTCTAAAAGATGTTTGCTTTCCTCTGAATATACTATTCCTGGAAGAAGAGTCATCCACAGTGTAGTGGGAATTCATTCGTCTAAATGCCACCTATATGCTTGCAGAAATGTAAGCCCAAGAATAATAAAACTTCTTGAAAGAGCATCTTTGAGCTTAGATTGTTGGAAGTTGAGCAGATCTTTAGGCACGTGAGTTGTCTGGAAGAACCTCCTTCTTTCCCCGTGTAGGATTATTAGAGTCCTGGGGCGGGGAGAAAAAACTCTACTGGAGGTTTTCGGGAAGGGGGTTATGGATCTCATCAGTGCTCATCAAACCCGGGAAGTACGCTTATTTCCGGCTGCATATATTTTATTGATATTCAGTATCTTCCCCTCTGAATTCCCATAGGGCCCTACACTCTTTAACGGGCATCATCCCTGCATATGAAATACCTGACCTCCATCCCATTTCCTCCAGCAAGCCAGCCTCTCTGAGCTTTTGCCAGGAAGTTAAGAACTTATCAAGCCTCTTTGTACTCATTACCCTCCCAGGCAACACAACGGAAGGGAAATAATTGCCATTTAAAAGGAGATCGAATGGTGGAAGGTCTTCCCCATTACCTCAGGATCCAAACTGCCATCACGTCTGGAAAATGACAGAAGTCACTCTCTTCTTCGAAGCTTTCTCCAGTCCAACCTACGCTCTGGATCTGGGATGGTTTTTCTTAAAGAACAAGTCGACTCCTGTGTTAATGTTCTGCAGTGACTCTCAGTTACTTCAAATACCATCAGACTGTTTCCCTGAGACTTCCAATGCTATGCCTAGCTCCCAGACTCACCTCCTGCTTCTTCCTACTTTGATCTCCATTCTCAATGAAAGTGCGTTCAGCTCTTGAAGGGGTTTTTTCTCTTATCTCTGGACTTTTGTTCACGGTGTCCCACTTGCCTAGAGCAAACCCCACCCCCAACCCATCTTTTGGGCGTAGGCATTACTTTTTCAAGAATGCATCTCAGAACCCCTCCAGTTTGTCTCATGACCCAGCAATGAGCTCCAGGAACCTCCAACCTTCCCCTACCACAGCCTGAAGTAACTGGTGGTTTCTCTATCATTTCCACTGGGCTGTATATTCCCTGAGAACAGGGAGCATCTCTGTCTTTAGCTGCATGCCCAGTGCCTACTATATAGTAGATAATCACGAAATATTTGTTGACTGAATAAACAGAGGCCCCCCATTTGTAAGAAACACCACCCAAGCAGAAAGAGAGACAATAGGAATTTTTAATGCATGGAAAGTCCTGCAGGGACTCTGGGCAGACCCACAGGCAGCAGGAAGAGGCAGGGGTCCTGCAAATTCAAACACGTCTGAAAAATAAAAGGTCCTAAAGACCCAAGCTTCCTCACTGCACCCATCCTCGGGGCCTCCATCCTGATGCTGAAGAGGTCCAACTGTCTCTCCGTAGGTCTCCTCCTGGGGTCCATGGCAGGAAGGAAGCTGAGTGCGGCCGGAGGAAGAAGAACAGGAAAGGCCGCGTGGTCTCCACCTGAAAGCTCCTGCCTTGGGACTGACCACCATCCATAAGAAAAAGTTTAAAAAGGAGAGACTTTGATAGAGTCAAAGGATATCTTAGAAAAAATAAAAGATAGGGGGAAATGAATAATTCCAGTGGTTACAAAGTTCTCTGTCGGCTATCCACAAGAGAAAGAGTTCGCTTTGGCCTTGCTGGCAAGCCTCATCTGCCAGGCCCATCCTCAGCTGACCCCAGCCCACCCAGGCCCCAGGATCCAGAGAGCACGGCTCCCCCTCCTACGGAGAGTCTCTGTGCTCACGGAGGGCGGCACCCTCCCTCACCGGCCCTTGGACTCGCCGTACGTGTTTCGGGCCATGGACACCATCTTCTCCTCGCATGTGATTTTGGTGTCCTTGAGGATGCTGTACCACACCATACCGGCAGGCCGGACCTCCTCGCTGCGGCAGAAAAGGTAGGGCACGGTGTCCACACGGCTCTGGATGTAGGCACTGCGCAGGAGGCTGGAACAGTGGCTGCTCACCCTCTCCAGGCGCCTCAGGATCAGGTGGGCCTTCCTGGAAGACAGAAGGGGGCAGCGATGAAGGAACAAGCCCGGACCAAGGGTCAGACCTTGGAAGAGGCGAATAACGGTTCACAGGCAGATGAAGACTTCTTGGCATAACAATTTCCTAGCCATTCCTGGCCTGAATGCGGTCTTTTGAACACCTGTTCAAAATTCACCTTGGAACGTGTCCTCTTCAGCTGTGTAATGTGTCAACAGTAAAAGAGAGGTACAACCTTTGACCTAACATTTTCACTTCTAAGATGTAAGAGTTATAACGTTAGCAGCCTTAGGACTCTGACCAAGTGAAAATTACTATAATAATGATAAACAACAAGAACAGTAACTGAAATGTATTAACATTACATGCTAGACACTACGTGAGTACTTCATACACATTTAAAAATGTACATTCAATCTTCACAACAGCCCTGAACATACAGTTCTTTCCACTCGTATATAATGAGTACGGAGCCCAGGTTTCAGAGAAATGACACTACTTGACCACAGATGGACATCAAGTTGACCATTGAAGTTGGACATCTGGATCTAGACCTAAACACCTCATCCCCCTCTGTCTGATTTCTGGCTTTTCTAATTCTCTCCTACTCTTTTCTCATAGTCAGAAGAAAATCTTGCCTTCTGTGTTTCTGCTTCATCAAAGTCTTTATGTAGCAATATCCACAAATCAGAACTTCTCTATCTCATTTTTCCTTATCTCTACGATAGCGATACTGGCCTTACCTTCATATACTGGCTGTAGATTGACTAAGAGAAATGCCCAAAGGCTGGCACAGAGTATGCCCTCAAAAAATGATAGACAGCTGCTACTAAAAAGAACTGCCGTGATGACGTCTCAGGACCGAGGTCATACTGAACACTAGTTTCAACAAGAACTACCTGTACGGTGGTGACCATCACTAGGAACTCACCCTCAGCTCATTACACAGCACCAGAGAGGACCCCTGAGGAGATCCGATGTCTGCATAGAAAATTAAAGATGGCGAGTGTCTTTGAGAGCACCTAGCCCAAGATTTCCCCTCAGGGGCGCTGCTGACGTGTGGGCTGGGCACTTCTTTGCTGTGGGCGTGGTCTTGCAGGACATGTAGCAGCATCCCCAGGCCTCTGTCTACAAGATCCCAGTAGCACCCACAGCCCCAGGCGTGACAATGAAGTTGCCTCCAGACATTGCCAAATGTCCTCTGGGGAGCAAAATTGCCCCATTTGAGAACCAATGACTTAGTCTGACCTACTCTCATTAGAGAGGTGGAAGCTGAGGCTTAGAGAGGGAAAGAAACATCCTTTTCCTGGGTCAGGGCATAAGGCAGCTTTGTGGGTCTCCATGAGGAATCCACTTTTCTCTGCATCTCAGCATCCTCGAGATGCCCAGGAACACGGAGGGGCTAAGGGGGAGGCGCTCCCCTGCTGTCCTCTCCATGCCCCTCTGAGACCCCAGGAGGGAGGGCGTTTTACGACAGCAGACCCCACAAATGGGAGACTGTGTCAGGCACCTGTGTGGCGGCTGGAAAAGGGCCGGGCTTATGTGTGGAGGTTTTGTGGGCACGATTTATGAGGTGCCTTTCAAAAAGTCCTCTTTGTATAGTTCACCACTTGGGTGGAATATTTCCTGAGGTGCCAAGAATTCATGGCTTCGCAATCACACTCGAGTTGCCGCTCAACCCACGGCCCTCTTGCCTCGCAGGCGCCTCCCCGGAGGAGCCCGAGGAGTGTGCTCGCAGCCCTCCTTGCTCCAGTCCCTGCTCTGCTCCTTGGGGAACTTACTCCAAACCTGTTTCTTCACTTGACAGATGGGGCGGGTGTGAAGTTAAAGGCGATAAAGTCTTTGGCCGCTCCTTTACTGAGCACTTACTATATGGCGGAGCTCCTGATTCAATGGGAAAGACAGACAAGTGGAAACGGCAGCACAGGTGGCAGCAGCCATGATAAAGGGGGCATGGGAGCTGTGGGAAGACAGAGGACGTGCCCAGCTAGGACTGGGAAACCCAAGAAGACTGCCTGTAGCCGGGGAACTTGTGCTGAGTCTCACAAATGAGCAGGGTGTAGGCGAAGAAGAGAGCAGAGGCACAACAGGAGGCAGGTAAAGGCAGAGAGAGAAGGGCTTGCATAGAAGTTCTGGGAATTTGTGGCGGAGTACAGGTGGGCACGCAGTGGGAAACTGGAGAAGTGGCAGCAGCCAGGCCACTGGAGCTCAGAAGCTAGGGCATCTGTTGTGCACCACGCAGGCTCCTGGGTCTGACCGCTCAGGTTCAAATACCGGCTCAGCCACTCACGAGCTCTATGATACGGAGGAAACTGTTTAACCAGCTCTACCTCAGTTTCCTGACCTATAAAATGGGAGAATAATGGCTGTATCTACCACAAAGGTTGTTTTAAAAATCAAAAAAGCATTAAAGAGTCTATCATAAGCCCTCAATAAATGTTATTTATGATTGTTATCTGGGGAGTCACCGAAGAGTTTCAAGCAACAAAGTAACAGGTTCAGAGACGACTATTTAAAACCGTATCTGATAAACAACAAGTTTCTACTGTATAGCTCAGGAAACTATATTCAACATCTGGTGGTAACCTATAATGAAAAAGACTATGAAAATAAATACAGGTATGCATATGGATGACTGAAGCATTATGCTGTACACCAGAAATTGACACAACATTGTAAACTGACTATATACTTCAATTAAAAAAAAAGAATGCAAGTTAAAAAAATATTTAAATACCTCAAGAGCTAAAAAACAAACAAACAAAAAAACCAAACCATGTCTGGCTGCCTTAAGGAGAGTGGAACTGGGAGAGGGTAAGACCGGGGGCCGGAAACCAGGTACAGACACACCAAGGTGTCCCGTGTTTCCTATCATTGTATGTAGGGGTGCTGGTTCGTTCTTTCTCTCCCTTTTAAAAAGCAACTTATTTTTTCTGTTTCCTTATTTACCAAGAGTGGGGAACATCCGCCCACCTCATAAAGTTGTATCAAGGATTAAATAGGTTAATATGTGTAAAACCCTTAGAAAAGTGCTTGGCACACACTAAGCCCCTGATACATGTCAGGAAGTATCAGTACCACCACCACCACCATCACTTCTATACTGCTTAAGCTTTGAACCCATATCTATATAAGTCAGTGGCAGGAGACAAAAAGACCGACTGAAAGAGTAACAGCCTCTACTTTAGCAGTGGAGTTCTGGGTTGGAGAATTTGCTGGGTGCTATGGGAGTATATAAAATGGATACCTCATCATTAGTTTAGGGGCTCAGAGAAAACTTCCCAGGGGATGTAACATCTGAGCTAGGTCTTCAATGGTCAAACACATTTTTCAGGTAGATGGGAAGGCAGAGGAAGAAGCCCATCCAAAGGTGGACTGAAGAGAGCATAAACCATCAGTTGTTTGAAAAGGCGAGTGCAAAGAATGGGTGAAAGACCAGTCAGTTTGGCCATGACCAGATGGACATCAGACCATCCAGACTCTTCTGAGCCATGGTGAAGTATTCTATTTTGGGGGTAATGGAGAGTCACTGTCTGATCTAGACAGGCCACCAAAAAAAAAAAAGCCACAAACATGAGCTTGGGAAGGACAGTCCCCTAACATGACCAAACGCTTTGTCTCCAAGGGCCCAGCCATTTCCAAAGAGAGACTCTTGGAACGTAATTGGACCACGCCTCTATATGGATGAGGAAACTAAGGTACGAAATGAGAAAATCGTTTCACCTTAAGTTAATAACAAAGGCAAAGCTGGAAACAGGGTTCCTGAGTGTATAGCGCTGAGATGAAGTATTTGGCTGTGGAGCCCCAGGTTCAAATCCGAGTTCTATAACTTAGCTTTATGGATCATGAGCAAGCTCTTCCATGCTACTAACTCACAGTTACTGCATCAGTAAAATGGGAATAACAACAGCGTTTTTGGAAAGGCGAGATAACCTGGGTAATTCGCTTAGTTCTCAGTAAATGTTAGCCAAGAGTCAAGGTAGCACATTACGGTACCACGGACATAGGCCCCAGAGCCCATTAGGACGAGCCACTTGTTCCCTACGAGCCTCAGCTTCCTCGTTTGTAAAGTGGGGATGCAGATGCTTATTATGTAGGGTCGCTGTTAGGCTAGAGTGGAAGTACCGCCCTCGGCATTCAGTACAGGGATGCACACCTGATCGACGGCAGTTTGCTTCGCTGTCCCCTGCTCCTTCTACACTGTACACTACGCCTCAGCACCTTGGTTTGCATTTAGATGACAAGGGCAGGAGAAGTTGGAAGGTGAAGCAATGAGGAGAAGGGTTGGAGGTACTCAAAGGCTGGAGAGGAGGAGGGGGAGCGAGAGACCAGAGGCGAGAGTGCTGAGTAATAAATTGTAGGCAATGGAGATTCATAAATCAAAGGCCAGCCATGCTCCAAGCTTTGCCTGCAGGGGGAAATTACAGGTCAGAGTGACCACTTTTCTCAAATACCGGAAATGAAACCTTCCTCCACAGAGATAGGACTCAGGCCCCCTGGGATAGGAAGCCAGAGGTGAAGGGGGGACACCACACATTAATTCATCATTGTATCAGCAGGCGAGATTGAGACAGGGATGGCTGGTGAAGGAGTCAGGGGCTGGGCTGGGACGCCGCTTCTCCGGGAACTGTAGAACCTTTGACCGATCATTCTGTTCCCAGCATCATTACCCAATCTGCTGCTGACACAGTTATCAGACAGAGACCTAATTTCTAAGGGGGCCTTGGAATGGAGAAAAAGAGGAGAGGCAGTAAGGAAACATTCCCGCTGGCCTCTCTCCTTCCTCTCTGCCTCCTTGAGTTGCGCTTAAATGTCTCTGTGTTGGCTGACCTCAAGCTTAATGAGAGTCAAGGGCATGACGTGGTT